GTTCAAAATTATCTATTCGTATGCCAGAAGCTACCAGCTTTAGTAGAACAACTAGTTTCAATCGCACCAATGTAGATACTTTCTTCAAAAACCTTGACAGTGTACAGATAAGCTATAAGTATTCTGCGCTATAAGTTTTCTGCTGATTGCATTTACAATATTGATGAAACAGCTCTTACAACTGCTCATAAGCCAGTGAAGGTGGTTGCGGGAAAAGGAGTAAAGCAAGTAGGACAGGTAACTTCTGCTGAAAGGGGAACCCTAGTTACAATGATAGGTTGTATAAATGCTCTTGGAAATTCTATTCCACCGTTTTTGATATTTTGCCGTGTCCACTTTCGTAGCCACATGCTTAAAGGTGCACCAACAGGTACCAAAGGTGATGCTAATCCTAGTGGATGGATAAATACAGAAATATTTTTGAAATGCTTTGATCATTTTGTGCAGTATGGACATCCTAGCCAGCATCATCTATTACTTTTAATAATGGACAACCACAAAAGTCATATATCAATTGAATTGATGGATAAAGCTAAGGAAAGTAATGTTGTGCTTTTGACATTGCCACCCCATTGCAGCCACAAACTCCAACCACTTGACAGATCAGTATTTGGACCATTAAAGAAATTTTACAGTTCAGCATGTGATTCATGGTTAAAGGCACATCCAAATACGATATATGAAATTTCTATGACGATATATGAAATTTCTGAAAATTTAGGAATAGCTTATGCGAGAGCCTTTACTTCCCAAAACATTCAAGATGGTTTTAAGGCAGCTGGCATTTTCCCGTACGATCCATATGTTTTTAGTGATGTAGACTTTTTATGTTCTTATGTATCTGATCAGCCAATTCCAGCAAATATCTCTACCTTATCAGCCAGTTTGTCCAGCAGTATTTCTCAACCAGCCCAAAAAACAATTTCTGTCAGTATAGCTAATGTATACGATCAGACAGACCCTGCAACTAAAGCTTATAATTTAAGTAAATCATCTGATTCGCAAATACAAACGATCCATACACCACTATCTATTGTATCAGAAGTTATTAATGACAAGAAAAAGCAAATAAGCACTTCTGCCTACCAATGGACAGCAGAAGATATAAGGCCATTTCCAAAAGCGGGTGAGAGGGTGACAAAAAGAAAAAGTGCAAAAATAAAATGTTCTAGGTCTCTGGTATTGACTGACACACCAACAAGAAATAAACTAGTTGTAAGTTTATTAGAATGTAAAAAAAAAAAGGAAGATAAAAATAAGAAAAAGAAAAAAAGTTACTCCTTGAGACATCAACGCAATATTGACTCTATTTAAACATCAAGCGACCTTGTCGAACAAAGTTATAAATGCATTTAGAATATCTTATTTTAATTGTACACAAATAAATGTTGTGTATTGTTATGTTATATAAGAATTAGAATAGACAGAATAAAATAATGCTGAAAATTATTTGTTTCTAACTTGTCCCATATCACCCCAAACGTTGTCCCATTTCACCCCAACATGGGGCAACATGGGACAAACAGTGTTACATTAAAAAAACGAGCCCGTGTTAAGTTAAGTAATGGGTTTTTAAATAATTTCCCATGACAACTCATTAGACTATAGTTTTAAACCAAATTGTATGGTGTTTGACAAAAATATAAAGCGTGGCAAACAAACAAATTTTTTTTGTCCCATCTCACCCTGTTCTCCCCTATAAGGTATGAAAATGAAAATGTCATCATTTAAAAAATATAAACATAAACTTTTTTAACACAATAAAAACTTTAAAAACACTTTTTTCAAATCTAATGTTTTTTTATTAAAATTAAATGAATTACTATTATAGGTTTGTGTATTAGATTAGATGTATTAATTTTTATATAAAAAAGTTGTTTATTATTAATACGTAAACGAATTAAGTTGTCCTGAGCCATCCTCCAAACATGTGTCCGATACCACTTGATCATACCTCATTCACAAGTACTAGTTTTAAAACCAGTGAATTCAAGTTTTGAACGAGTTTTTTTTTTTAATAACTATTGTAAATAAAAATGTTTCTTAACTCATTAAAAAGTTATTAGTTTATAGAAATTAGTTATATATGTGAATCAAATATGATGATATGTCGCTCTTCTGGTGGAGGGAAACAAAATCTTGCCCTCCCAGTCATTCGCTTTGGCATATTATGGTAGATATTTTGCATATACCATATTTTCACTCAAATAATGTTATTATAATATTAAAAGTCACAAAGCTTCCACTCTATAAGCTTCCACCTTATAAGCTTCCACTCTATGCGCACCTTATAAGCTTCTACTCTAGTTCAAATTTTTTACCTAATTTTGAACCACCCTAATATATATACACATCTATATACAATAGCTGATAGTCTCAGCTATTCCTGATTTTAAATCTTTTTATTTATCTTTTATCATTTGTTCAAGTATTATTTGAATATTTTGGTTCATTTTAATAATATCAAATTTGTTTTTGTTGATCCCATTATTTGCATATGTTATATATTTCAGTTATATTTATTATTATGTTATATATTGTATATATATTGCATATATTATATATTTGTATATATATTGCATATGTTATTTATTTCCCTTTTAGGTTGGCAGTTCGGTCAGTATTGTTAAATTTCAAGGGCTGATGTATATATACAGGGCCGTCCCGAACGGGGGTGTAAAGGTTTTCCCCCCCCACCCCCATCAAAGCTGTCATATACGCATTCTAGTTTGTACATTTGTACATTTAGACTTTTTTTTTTTTTATGGATCTTTAGTTGGAAAAAAATAAATATGACACCACCCATTTGAGACCTTTTTGGAATGACCCTGTGTATATTATACATATATATACATCCGAGGGCTGATGTATATAGTAGTAGTAGTAGTAGTAGTAGTAGTAGTAGTAGTAGTAGTAGTAGTAGTAGTAGTAGTAGTAGTAGTAGTAGTAGTAGTAGTAGTAGTAGTAGTAGTAGTAGTAATATATATTTGTTACAACAAAAGTAAAAATAATTGATAAAATACAAGTCATAGATTGTCAGATTACAGTTAGTATTTGTGAAGCTCATATTGCAATTTTCACTAAGGAAAGCTTCGAGCTGTAGTAACATTGGAGTTTATCTAGGCTTGCTTTAAAGCTATTGACAGTTGGAGAATCAATTACTTTATCTGGTAGCATGTTCCATGTATTGACAATGCGGTTGTTCAAAAAAGTGGAAGCAAGCTAAATGGTTGCTGTACTTTTCACGATGAAGTCTTTCTCTGTGATTTGCTCTTGGTGGAATTGCGATGAAGGGAAAGTGCCGGTTGACTATGTCAATGTTATTAATAATTTTGTATTTTTGGATGAGTTCATCTTGTTTATGATGTTCAACTAGAGTAGATAGACCAAGTTGTAAACATCTGGACTTGTAGTCTAACTTTTTGCAGTTTGTCTGGTATTTTTGTGGCTCTGCGCTGTATTAGCTCAATAGTTCATCCTTCACCAAATGAGGGTTTCAAGCTGGAATTGCAAACTCAAGTAAAGGATGATGTAGTTGGAGTAGAGTTGTTTCTATTAAGAAGCATCACGAGATTGGAAAGTGTGTTTTAGGATGCCTAGCATTTTATTTGCTTTTCATGAGGCAATGATGGATTGGGTTTCTACTTTAAGATCATTGGTAATTTGAATTCCCAAGTCACGCTCAGAGGTGGTTGCTTTAAATGTAGTTTGAGTCGTTATTGAACAAGGGCCCAATTCCTCCATTGAGTACTCGAAAGGAGTTAATTGGCCAAAGTGCATGACCTTGCATTTCTTTGCATTTAGTTCCATGCGCCAAAACTTGGTCCAATGAACAACTTGGTCAATATCTGATTGGAGTTGAAGTTGAGCAGCAAGTGAGTTGACAATGCTCAGGATTTTAGTGTTATCAGCGTAGATTTTATAACTGTTTGCTTATTACATCTAGTAGATCGTTGATGAAAATGACAAATAAAATTGGACCCAAGACTGATCCTTGCGGAACCCCACTTGTCACAGGTAACCAATTTGGTTGAGTGTCATCAAGGATGACTCAAAATGTTTTTATCCAGTTGAGAAAGTTATCTTCGATTCTGTACGTTTTTAGTTTGTAAAGCATTCGTTGATGTAACACTTTGTCAAATGCTTTGGCAAAATCCAAGAATATGATGTCAACTGATAATTTTCTGGCCATATTTCCAGTCAGGAGGTCCATTGTTCCAAGGAGATTTGTAATGCATGCTTTTTTCTCTAAAAAGTCATGTTGAAAATTTGTTAGAAGGTTGTTTGATTTTAGTTGCTGCATTATTGCCTTCTTAACTAGTTTCTCCATTATTTTACATGGAATCAAGGTGAGAGATATTGGTCTGTAGTTTGATGGGTCGATTCTGGAGCCCTTCTTATATAAAGGTGTTACAATTGCTTTGAACCATGAGTTTGGAATTTCACCATTGTCGAATGACTTTTGAAAAATGAGAGTAAGTGAAGTAGACATTGAAGTAGAACAAAAGCGTAAAACGTGAGGACTGACTTTGTCTACACCAAGTGATTTAGATATATCTAGTGATGAGAGTGGCCTGAGTGTCAAAAGTTATGCTGTTGAGGATTGTGTTAGTTCTACGATCAAAATGGGGAAGATTTTCATTGGATGGCTCTTTGCTAAAAACTGGTTGAAATTGATTATTAAGTGAGTTAGCTATTTTAATTTTGTCAGAGCTAATGATTTCACTGGAACTGGTGATTCGCATAGATGAGATCTGATTTATTACAGGCGTTAACTATTATATATATATATATATATATATATATATATATATATATATATATATATATATATATATATATATATATATATATATATATATATATATATATATATATGTATATATAATTTTTTTTTATGTGTAATATAAATTTTTAATTATTTAGGAAATATATATATATATATAAAGCTTAAGATATATATTAATTTTTAGTTTTTAAATATATATAATTTTTTTTAGGAGGTACTTGACATATTTCCCAAACCTTTTCCAAACTAGTTCATTTGAAAATGTTGTTGTTCTTATTCATGGATTTAAAAATCAAGTTGTTGTAAATATTACCTTGTATGACAATATTAATCAAAAATCTTATTTATCGAAGTTCTTTAATGTTCAACCAGGTAAAATTATATGACATTTCATATATATATATATATATATATATATATATATATATATATATATATATATATATATATATATATATATATATATATATATATATATATATATATATATATATATATATATATATATATATATATGTATATATATATATATATATATATATATATATATATATATATATATATATATATATATATATATGATATATATATATATATATATATATATATATATATATATATATATATATATATATATATATATATGTATATATATATATATATATATATATATATATATATATAAGCAAATTTCATAATTTGTTTTCAACTACCAATTTTTATGCAAAGTGCCTAATAAGTGGCGTTGAGGTCATATTTATATAAAATTTTTTTTTTATTTTTTTTCGAAAAACATATTCGCTTTTTATGATTTTTGACTAAATTTAAAGAAATTTCCAAGCATTGGCGCAAATAGATTCTGATGTTAAATCAGATTAATTTGTTCAGCGATATTTTCTTAATGTGTTCCTGTACCAAAAAAAATACTGTTCTTATTAATTTAAGACATGTGTTGTACTTATATTTCACTGATTACCATAGATAAATTAACACTTTGGCTATTGAAAAGTGATTTTTGTTGATATTTGAGCTTTTTTCCAGTCATGTGAGAAACTTTATGATTTTTATCTTATTTTGGTATCAATAGATGTTTTTTTTTAAAATACTGTTACTGAAGCCTTGGATCAAACAAATCCGAATCCAAAATGGTTTCCTTTAAAGATTGGGTACTTTCCTTAAAAGATTGGGACTTTCGATCTTTTGTTGTAAACTATGCTAGATTAAAACGTATCAATGTGATAATCGCTGCAAATGTGCAATAAATATTTATATACATTAAAATTTTTAGCTTAAGACAAATATCTCAAAAAAGTATGTAAAAAAATAATTTTCAAATGTACTTTTAAGGTTCAGAGTTTGCAGTTAGGTATCGGATCAAAATTCAAATTATTAGAATGATTCAATAACAAGAAAGCAAGAAAGTAGTTGCCGTAGCTAACTCCTTGAATCCACTCTTCTTCTTTTTTAATGGTTCTTTACGAAAACTCTTTATTTGGAGTAGCTTCTGAAGCTTCTCCAAGCTCATTACATGCTCTACATTATCTTGAATAAGTTTTACTGTAAGCACAGCAATATTGAATTTTTTATTACAAAATATTTTTTTCAAATCCGAAAATACGTTTCTTGTATGAGGAAATAAATATCCTATCCTGCAATTTATTTTTAAAAGCAATAAATATATTTCTTGTTTTGAGAAATAAATTTCTTAAACTATGGTCAATAGATTTACAATTTTGCTGAGAGTTCTGATGAGCTGTTAGCAACTTTAAAAGTTTTGGAATTTATTGTATCCTAAAAGTCTGAGGGAGTCTCATCTGTATGCTTTTTTTCAAACTATGAGATAGAATATCAAAAATGAATCAGTAGTCTGGTTAAATATAGAACTCAAAACCTAGTGGCTGATCTTTATTAACAAAAAAAGCTTTCAGAAGGATTTTAGCTTTTATTTTATCCATTTTTGCATCTTTTCAGACCTCCTTTTGTTTTTGAATACAGAACTTTTTACCATTTTTATATTGTGATCTCAATCCAATGATGCTAACGCCAGCATCAAACATCTCTATGGTTTTACCATGATTTGGATTTCACCTCTGTAGCAGGCTCATTATACATCTGTCAATAGTCTTGTTTATCTTAAAAGTGTAAATTAAAAATAATGCAAAGTACATTTAATTTTGACAAAATAAAATGACAAAAAAAAAAAGTGTTATTTTTATTGAATTCATTTTATTTTATTTCTACTGATTTTAAGAAAAGTCTGTCATTGGAAAAAAAATTTGTTTGAGAGTTATTTTCTTTGTACTTTACAACGGATTTTAAACCATTTTGCAAACCATTGTTTTTAAACAATTTGTTACTTTATGACATAAATTATTCTTAAATAAGACTAAAATATCACTTATGAAATTAAATTTTACTTTAAAAATTAGAAAAGTTGCAGGTCAAAAACAGGATGCCCTCGAGAGAGAAATGTAGTCAGCCATTTTATTGATCTCTTTGAGTATTTTATTACTCAGAATAAAAACCTACCTGATTTTAGAGAAATGAAACTTGAATGTCGTGAAATTCAAGGCGTGTGAACAGCTCTATATTTGTTAATTTTCACCAAATGGTCTGATTTTTTTCCGCAAGTTCACAATAATCTCTGTACTTCTCAAAAGTCTAAATGTAAATAATTTTAAAATTAGAAACTTATACATTTTGTTTTTGCAAAAAGGTATTTTAAAGTGAGGCAATTTTATCTTTACCTTACTATTTTTTAACCTTTTTTGGTTTTATAAATAGTTTATTCTCCGGCTTAACAGTTTTATTTATGGCTGCAGCTATTTGAAGCTCTCCGTCATGATGGAAGGAGTTTAACAAGAATAATGGTCGGCCAGGAAACTTAGCTAATCTTGTACAAACCCCTTTTAAATAGCCATGACTTGAAGTGGGTGAACTGTATGAGATCAAAAGCATGTAACAAATTTCTAATTGTTGTGTATTGAGCCTCAACACTATTGTGTTTAAAAACCACGTTTTTTAATTTCATAATTGGTTTGTGCATTTTTAAAAACCACCAGTTAACACAAATAGTTGTAATAAAAATGCGCTCAATCGGTATAGATAAAAAACCTCCCATTATTTGTAATGACATTATTATATAGTTAATGATTTGTAAATTTCTATCCAATTGTTTGAAAATGTCCTTAAAAATTCAAAAAATGTAAAAATGTAAAAATTTAAAAAAGTGGTGCGAGTATAAATAGTCATCCAAAATAAAGAATAAAAAAATTTCATTAAAAAAACTACATTTTGAATATTTTATGATACTACACGTAATAAAATTTGTTCATGAGGGTCAAAATAGGATGGGCTAATGTATATATATGTACAAATAATTTTAAACTTGTTTTAGAAAATAAAATGCTTAATATTCTTAAAAGAACAAAGGAATAACAAATTAGTAGAAAATCACTTATCAAAATTTTTTCATTTTACACTGTTTTTCTTCAATAAACACTCGTCAGAAATGAATGTTCAAATTAATAAAACTTCAATTTATACCAAAAATTAAATTACAAAAATTAATTTACACCAAATTACTGGTTTGATATAACAATGGGGATGTAATGATGTAGCAGAAATTTGTGAATTTGTTGGACTATTTATTTAGATATATTAAGTCTGAATGTGCCTATTACTTATATATTTATAAAATCTATTTCTAAAGGTCTTATCTCAGCTGTGTAGCTGGAAGCTAACAACAAACTTCTTCATAAAAAAGGATCTAAATTTGATGCATCAAACTACAGACTCATTTCTTTAAGATCTGACTGCTGCAAACCTCTAGAGTCTATTGTAAAAGATTGTTTAACTGAGTATCTGCTAATAGTCTTTAATCTCTATATTAGCACGGGTTTGTTCCAAATAATTCATGCATTACCAGTTTATTGGAAACTGTAGATCAGATCTCATATTCAATGGCAAGAGGTTATAGTATAGATGCTTTATATCTAGATTATGAAAAAGAGTTTGACCTCCTTGTAATCTCATCACGATCATATGCTCCACAAACTTTCTAGTTATGGCGCCTCTTAAATGCTACATAACTGGATAAATGTCTTTGCTTTCTAACAGAACACAACAAGTGGTCATGGGTTCTGCTACTTTCAATTTGTATCAACAAATGCTTCAATCAACAAATTAGTCGGCATTATAATTATCCACTTAAAAGCTGCTATAACTCATTTCCTTAACTTATAAACAAACTCAAAAGTATTTTCATTCTAGGTATAATTACAAAACTCTTTTTTTTTTTTGTTTGTAAGCAATTTAACTTAATAAAATAAAAAAAAGAATAAATATGAGGTAATCTTTGTTAAGAATAAATTTAATTTATTTATTGAACTATATTTTTATTTTTAATTATATATCAACTTAATTAAAATATAGTAACATATTTTAACATGACTTGTATTATTTATAAACCGTTGGGCAGTTGCCCTTACGGCACTATTATTTTTGGATAATATTTTATTTTGATGAAAATCACATAACTTTCATTTGATTTTAATAACGTAAGTCTTCTCTTTTTCTGTGATCATCGCATCGGCAAAGCATCGGCAAAGTCCCAAGATTTAAAAGTTTTTAAAGTAAATCTTTTGTCCTTCAAAATACAATCCATATTCGAACTTTAAACAATTTAGAGATAATAGAAATATACAATGTTTTTATATACTAGTTTGTTTTGTTTTATAAAGAAAATATATTCATTAGTAAAAAATGGAGACTGTCATTAAACTAAAACGTGCCTTAGTATTTATTTAACGGAACCTGTAATGTGCGCGTGCATAATAAAACCTCCGTTATATAAATATATTCAACGTAATATTAGTGTCATCAGCGGATGTTGTAGTCTACTCATGATTTTTTTACCTTATATTATAACTTGATTTATGAAAAAAAAAACTTATTGAATCGCACGCAGAAGAATTTTAACAAATTGTCTTCATTCAAATATTGCGAGTAACAGGTAATTTTTTTTTTTCTGTGCCGACCCCCTCCTCCCGCATAACTTAAATTATATACTAATAAACTAATAAGAAAAGCTATATACTATTAAACTAACTATAAGCTATATACTATTAAACTAATAAGAAAAGCAAAGACATTTTTTTTTAACATCTCGAAAAAAATGTCTTGATATTTTTGTTATCATGATAACAAAAATATTAAGACATTTTTTGAGATTTTATTTAAAAAAAATGTCAATTCTTAATTACAAATTTTTTTGCAAATGTTTTTTATTATAAATTCAGTAAAAAATTCATAAAAAATCTATATTACAAAAACTTTTATATTCTGTATTAATAAATATGAAATATAGATTTTTTAAAAGTTTTTTACTAAAAACTTTAAAAAATTACTACTTTTTATTAAAAACATTGCAAAAAATTTGTAGTTAAGGATTGACAAACAATTTTTCATGTTGCTAAATATTTGGATAAAAAGTTTAGCGTCAAATTAATTGCTATAAAAAAGAAAGATATATCGCAATAAAAAGTTACAATAATTATTTTTAAAGTAAATTCTTTTTTTTTTATAAATACCTTTACATAACGTTATTTAAAAGTTAACGTAATTTAAAAGTTAATGTTTTTTTGAAAATTAATTACTTCTTTTATGTTACCGCTAATTTAAAAGTTAAAAAATGATAAAAAGTAGCTTAACCAAAACAGCTCTACGCGTACGTAAAAAGCGCTTAAGGCGTATGTAAATCGCTCTAGGTGTAACGCTTTAAAACAAGGCCTAATCTCTTGATTCCACTAGTTGTGTTTGACCTGATACAGCCAAAATACTTTTTGATCCATTGTTTGACATTCATATCACTCCGGTTTCTGTATTTAAAGTGACTTCCTACTTAGACTCTTCCACAGCTTGTAGTCCAGACAACATACCTGCTATAGTCTTGCAGAAGTGTTCTAAGGAACTGTCGTCTATAATTTTAAAACAATTTAACAAGTGCTTATCAGAGTCTTGTTTTCCAGCTTGCTGAAAAGCGGCATCTGTTATCTCTATTTTTATAAATACTGGAGAGCAATATAACTTTTCTAAGTATTGTCCCTTCCTATCATAAGCAAGGTTTTTTAACCTTTAATTAACAAACACTTAATCTCTCATCTTGAGTTTTATAAATTATTTTATAATAATCATTTTGAATTTTGGTCTCCTCGTTCTACAGCTGATTTGCTAGTAATAACCGATAGGTTTTATTGTGTATTAGATAAAGGTAGAGAAGTTAAGGCTGTTGCTCTTGACTTTTTTAAAGCTTTCAATAAAGGTTAACAACCCTACTTCCTAAATTAAAAATTGTATGTATGTATATAGAAAACAAACACACTTGTAAATTATCAATAGTAAAACTAAAGTTGGGTTTCTTACTTTGTAATCCTCTTAAGTTATGATTGCAGGGGAGTTAATTTGTATCAGCAGTTGGTTTGTTTCGCTGACAGGGGTTAAGGGAAGTTAATCTATTTTGAAATAGATTAACTGCCTGGGTAATTTTTTATGCAACGGAAATTAGTTTATTATGGTGATTATTTTATTTCATTACACAGCACAATAAAAATAATAAAAACAATAAATAGAGTTATGAATATGAGTAACAAATAAAATTATTTAATAAAATCATATACAGTTCATTTTAATTTAAAAATATATACAATGTTAAGAACTATTATATAACAAATCTATTTCAACTTGAACACTTTTTATTTGTTGAGATTGTTGTTTAGGCAGGGAATTTAGAGAAAGTATTGAAATTGTTGAAGAAAAAGTAGAAAAACAAGTAAAAGAGGAGGGTGAGTTCTTTAATTTCAATTGCAAAACATTTTTTACAGTTTCATTTTTTGTATTATGGGTAGTATTAGTTGACTACACCTTCTCAAATACACCTCCTATAACAAAAACTCCAGCTACAACATCTATTTTGTAAATATTTTTGAAGTTTTACAAAAAAAAAGTTAATTTTTTTACTTTACTTTTTATTAAAAGGTGATTTATAGCATTACGTGTTTAATTTGGTTATGTTTGTTTAGCAGTTTAAATAAAGTTTTTCAATTTAATAAATTTTTGTTCAATTTTTATTTTATTTTATTTTCTAATATTATATTAAGTTTTTAAGGTGTTTAGCGAAAATTTAACTAATGAAAGAGCATTAAAAAAAAATATGTAAGTTTTTTTTCTTTTTCACTAAATTGTTATAATAAATGCATGCTTACAAAAAGCAATTGTCGAAATCACTAAAAAACAACTCCATTTTGATTTTATTTTTTCACCATTGAAACTCGATTGTTAGTCGTTAAAAATCACATTAGTATGTCACAACAACTTTAGCATATCTACTTCGATTTTCAAGTAAAAAAAAGTCATGATTAAATAGTTAAGTTTTAATCAAGTTTTTTTAATTAATTTTGCAAAAACAGTATAATAGCATTTGGTTGAAAGACGTTGTTAAAAAAAAAGTTATAAGTAATAGTTTTAAATAGTTTAGAACTTATAAAAAAGTCTTACAGGGCTCGTATTAAGCGTATCGCGATTGCTACACTCAATTTTGTGATTAGTTTTTTCTTAAAAAAAATCTTTTCGCGACTCGTTTTTTTTTTGGTTGATTAATTACTTTTTTTCTAGCTTAGCATTTTTTTAGCAATTCTGAAAAGTAATCTTTTTATCATAAAGAACGTCACACAGAATTTATTATTCTGAATAGATAGATGTATAGATGATTTGCACTTTCGCGCTGAGATTTTCTTTTAACGTAAAACATTTTTGAATTTAAATTACTTTAAATCTCTGCGTGGAAAATTTTTACAGCGAAAAGTTGAAAAGTTGGTTTTTATCTTTGTTTAAAATAAGGCTTTTTATCATGTTTAAAATAAGGCTTAAAAACGTTAGAGCAAAAAAATTACTGACTTTTATTTGCATTTTTATACTGTTTGAAAAAAAAAACTAATAAAAAAGAAATAATATATAATTGTTTATTAATATATTATTAGTTAATTCTTTTTTATTAGTTTTTTTTTAAACAGTATAAAAATGCTAATAAAAACCAGCAATTTTTTTACTTTAATGTTTTTAAGCCTTATTTTAAACATGAAGTATAATTCGATTTATTAAACCAAATTTTTTTGTTTTATCTTTTATTGGAAAACTTGAAATAGAAAAATTAAATAAAAACATCAACTATTTAAATGAAAAACTTAATTATATTTAAACTTTTATTAGTCCTTTATTCAAGAAACAATAAATTATAAAAAACGTGATATCTAATTTTTTATTAAGTTTTTGACGATGTTTTTCGATAATTTTTTCCCCCCCATTACCGCACATCGGCGCAAACTATAAGAAAGAAGGGTGGGGGGGGGGGGGGAGAGAGAGCAAAAAAAAAAAAAAATTTTTCGCGATTAGATTTTTTTGCGTTAATTCGAGCCCTGTCTTAGTTTAATTTCTAATAAAATGTTTATTCAACCTTGTCAATTTGAACCAAAAAAATATAGCAATTTAACATAAATTTTAATTTAACTAAAACATTTTACAATCGTTATTTTTTTTATCAAGCAAAAATGAGAGTAACCGTCACTTTTGAAACCATAAAAATTACTGAAATAAATTTATTTTTTTACTAAGACAATATTTTAAATAAGCTTTCATATGTCTAAGTCAATATTCATTTGTTTTTAACTGACTAAAAAGAGTTTAAAATTTGACTTCTATTCATTTTTAGCCGTGGAATTGCCCTTATAACACAAATATATAAATTAATATTATAAAAAAAATTTTAATATGCAAATATATTTTTGTAAAATGCTACTAAACTTATTCATGTAAGTAATTATGTGTTAGTTGAAAAAAAACGACTTTAATTTTAAATTTAATTACCAAATAATAAGTTTGCAATAATGACATTTTGTCTACTTTGTTTAATTTGACGTACAAACGTTAGTTTTTTGAGGCAGTAGAGTCAATAAACTTTGGACAAGACACATTTTTTTTAATCGAAGAAAAGCGTTTTTTTGAAAATTTAATTTGTTAGTGTGTGTTCATTATTACATTTTAGAAAAAATAATATACATCAAACATTTTTTTTTTAATGCTCTTTCATATGAGATCATAACTTTATAGCACTTAGGGATCCCTTTAAAAAAAAAAATTGAAAATTAAACATAAAAAAATAAAATCATGTTAAATAATAAATAAAATTTAATTTAATTTAATTTAAAACACAAAGCACAATAATTAACACAAACTTACAGAACACTGAAACAACACTTACTTAAACCTAACTTAAAGAACACTTACTTAACTCTAACTTAACTAGTGAATAATACTCCCCTCTTTAACACCACCTCTTAATACTGGACATCTGTCCAAATATTATAATTTATCTAGCACTCCCTTGCACTTATATATTTCTTTCTTCTCTTAAGACTCTTACGGCCTGATGGTTCCATATTAGTGGTGGAACTTTAATAGCTTCCACTGCGAAACAATAGCAGATTTAATTCCTCTCCCGTCCCACTAGTGGGAACGGGATGCGGAACTTGGGCAACAACTTCTCCGGACAAATAACTTTATACACATCCTGCACTTTTTGTATCTTATTTTACACCATCTTTTTACACTCTTTCTCAACTTTCTAATTCAACTCTTTTATGAAAACCGGACTTACGTAAAACCCAAACGAAACTTATAACACAAAAGGAACCACTAAAATTACAAGATAGCAATGACACTTAATACTACTACGGGACACTAATAAGTACACCTAATACTACCACGAACACTAAACACCTTATACAAACATCTAAAACACTAATAACATTTAAAACTACCACCACGAACACGACACTAATAACACGATATTAATAATGCCATTAATTACATATCTTTCACCTTAGCTCATATCACTGGCAGAAGGAAACCGTAACTTATACACAACTAGCAACAGCCATAGAAACTTCAAACCCCTCTCTTACAAAAAATTATTCATGCCACAATGGGCCGGAAAACTAAACGCAAACTACAACAAACAACTTAAAGAAAAGATTAACATCACTAGAACCAATATGCAAAAAAAACAATTACGAACATCTCAGGCACCCAATTAACAAAAAATGAACTTACTGTACTTAATAAAGGACTTAAATTTATCTACTCCCCACAGGAACCTGACTTTGATCTATATACGAAACAAATAAAAAAATATAAACGACATATTTACTGTAAAATGTTTTTTAATAAACAACACCCAACATCGCAAAACCCAACGAAAAAAGACCGCACGCTCAAACGACCCAACCCTAATTGGAACCCCCTTGCAGATAAAAACATGAAACTCAAAAGATACATGACCATAATAGACAGAGAGACGGAAAGAATCATGAAAGACCCAACCTACGCAAATGCAAATAACACCACAATCAATGAAAGGAAAGCTCTGTATAAACTAAGAAGAAACAAAACCATAACAATCAAGAAGACAGATAAGGGCAGTGGTATATGCACATTAGATAAGAAAACATATGAAGAAAAAATTTTACAACTTTTGGAAGACAAAAACACATACGACGAACTACCAAACGACACAACAGAAATGGTAACAGACAAAATAATAAACGAAATTATTATGATGAGGAATGCACGAGCGATCCCTGAGAAAGTAGCCAACTTCATACTACCTAACACACCGAGTCGCACTCCCCTATTTTACGGACTACCCAAAATACACAAACAAGGAACACCACTACGACCGATAGTTTCTGGGTGCGATGGACCGACTGATAACCTCTCTGAATACGTGGTAAAGTACCTGCAACCTATGGCAGAAACACTTCCCGCATACTTCAGGGACACCACTCACTTGCTTAGATTACTATCTGACATCAACTCCCCCTAGAGCCCGATAACACTGATAACTGCCGACGTAACATCGCTATACACTAACATACCACACAATGACGGCATCCAAACTATCAAAAACTTTATAACCGAACATTTACATACCATCAAATTCCCTCCAGAACTACCACCCATCATACCGACAAGACATTTTTGCCACCTCATTGAACTGATACTTAAGAACAGCTCGTTTATGTTTGGCGTCAGGGCATTCCGCCAGAAATTTGGTACCTCCATGGGTACCAGAATGGCACCGCCCTACGTCAACATATTCATGAGTACTTTTGACAAGACAATACACAACAAATTTAAAAACAGTATTTTACTGTACAAAAGATTCATCGACGACATACTGATCATATTCAGGGGCACTACACAACAAACGGAAGAACTTACCACATACGCCAACACCCTACATAATGACATCAAATTTACATTCAACACCTCCAATGACAAGATCAACTTCATGGACATCACTCTACAAATAAACAAAAATAACAACACACTCACCTCAAAACTTTACAGAAAACCTACAGACACCCTGTCCCTCCTAAATTTTCACTCAAACCATCCCAGACACCAAAAAATAGGCATCATCTACAGCCAAGCACTACAACTCAACAGACTCATCTCCGACGAAGACGAACTAAACAAAGAACTCAAGAACCTTACAATTACACTCGTCACTAAAAACTACCCACTTAACGTCATTAACCACCACATCTCCAGAGCTTTACTTAAAACCCAAACGGAACTAATAACCCAATCGAAACCACTAAAATTACAAGACAACGATGACACCACATCCAATCAAATCCCCATCATACTCCCCAACGACAACATAGGGAGGGAACTAGCACAAATGATCACAAAACACTGGGGTATTATCAAAAACGACCCTGAC